AGAACCATACCTCTAGTTATGACAAACAAATATGTCTCTAGCTATTACCAAATGTTGTCTGGGAACAAGATCATTCTGAGTTGACAAGCCATGGTGTAAGAGACTGTGCAGAGATTAGCCATGTGTCATAGGTAGAGAGACTGCCTAACAGACGGCAGTCTCGTCTGTGTAGAGCTTCATCTGGATGGTGATTAGATAGAGTAACGCTGTAACTGCTGTTTACTGGATACCATAAAGAAAGACAAACTTTGAAAAAGGAAAAAAAGTATGCTTCTATTCTTGGAGCCAAGTTTCATAAAACAGAACAAAATATTTAATTAGAACCCCTGATTAGGAATGATTTTGAAACACTGTATTAAGAAAAAGGTCTATCAAAGAAAAACAAAGAAGCTGGGCATTGTGGTAGCCTGGGCTACATAATGAGATTTTTGTCTCAAAGACAAAAAGTCCAGGTTATTGTTTTTAAGTCTGTGGGGAAAAAAAATAAGTCTTAGGAATTCCCTGTCCATATTTTACCCAAACCATGCCATCTCTTTAAAGCACAGCAAATATTAATCAGAACTAACTGCTGCCTGTGAGATGAGTCACCCTTGGGTTTATCTATCTCTGTACTCTCCACCTGCTTCCATGTGTTCTCTTGTGACTATAATTAACTTTCCCTCTGTCCCTTTTTAAAAACTTAAATATTTTTTAGCTCTTCGACAGAGTCTCACTTTATAGTCCAGGCTGGTCTTGAGCCTACTGCAATCCTTGTCTCTGTCTTCCAAGAACTAAGATTAGAGGCATTCAGCACCATCTGAGCACAGTCAACTCTCTAAACACGTCTAGCAATTCCACCGTGAGGCATTTATGCAGTCTTTGCTGTTTCCCAGCTGCTTCAAGGGCAGCCTCAATTCCTCAGCACGACACCACAGGTCCACAGACTCTGGCCTCACACTCTTTTTCTTCTTTACTTTCTTTTCTTTCTTTCTTTGGGGGTGGCAACGTGGGGTGTGTGTGTGAGAGAGAGAGAGAGAAAGAGAGATAGAGAGAGAGATAGAGAGAGAGAGACAGAGAGAGAGAAAGAGAGAGAGAGAGAGAGAGAGAGACAGAGATTTTGAGACACAGAGATTTTGAGACACAGAGATTTTGAGACAGAGTTTCTCTGTGTAGCCCGGCTATCCTGGAACTCACTCTCTCTGTAGTCCAGGCTGGACTCAAATTCACAGAGATCTGCCTGCCTCTACCTCCCCAGTGCTGGGATTAAAGGCGTGTGCTAGTATCACCCAGCCTTATTTTCTAGCTATATAGTCACACACGTTTCTTGGTTTATGGTATTTTTCAGCATGTGATCAGACACATTCCATCTCCACACAAGCAGCTCATCAGTCTTCAATGCCAGCATCAGATAGAATCATATAACGTGTGATGAATTCTTACATCTCCGTAGACAGGACTGACTATCCTGCCTTTGGACTCTTTGTACTGGATCTGTATGTACATGCAAGCATATACAATTACAATTTAATAGTGCATTCTAAGCACAGTGGAACATTCCTATAATCCCAGTACTTGGGGATGCAGAGGCAGGAGAGTCATGAGTTCAAGGCTAACCTTGACTACATACATAACTTGAGACCCTATTCCTAATACAAACAAAAATGTCTACATTAAAATATACAAATGAACTTTAAAGTTTTACTAATTTAATGTTCTATGGTTTAGTCATTTAATTCTCCTAAGTAGGAAATGGAACTATTACTATCATTTCCAGATTCAGTAGCTTACTCAAGGTAATGCACAGAACAAACATTTGAGTCCAGACATGTAATTTTACAGTCAGTTCTGTTTTGCTTTCTTCTTCTTCCCTTCTTTTTTTTTTTTTTTTTTTTTTGGAGACAGGGTCCTGACTGTCCTGGAACTCACCACGCAGAGAGACCAGGCCAGTCTGACCTTAAACTCACAGCAAACCCCTGCCTCTGCTTCCCCAAGTGCTGAAGTTAAAGGCATCCATCACCTACCAGGCAGTATTTTTTAATATATTTTTTAATTATTTTTTATTTTTATGTGTATGAGTGTTTTGCCTACATGTCTGTCTGTGTACCAGGTGCATGACTGATGCCTGTTGAGGCCAAAAGAGGACACTGGATCCCCTAGAACCGGAGTTACAGACAGCTGTGAGCTGCCATGTGGATGCTGGGAATAAAGCCCAGGTCCTCTGGAAGAGCAGCCAGTGCTCAGTGGGTTACCACTGAGCCATCTCTCCAGCCCCTTCTCTTTGAATTTTGTTTTGCAGCAATGAAAGATAGGGCCTCACATATGTTTTTGAAGCTGTCCCTATGCTGCTCCGTTTGAACTTAGTAATCCCCCTGCCTCAGCCAGCAGCACCAGCATCATAGGCATCTCATTACACTTACATATCCAAAGTCTACGTTCTTTCTTAGCCTTATATTGCTAAACTTTTTTTTAAGCTTAGACTATACCTAAAACTCATATGATATTTTCACAAATAGAAAAAGAAAATAAAGCTGGGTGGTGGTGGTGAAAGACTTTAATCCCAGCACTCAGGAGACAGAGGCAGGAGGATCTCTGAGTTCAAGGTAAGCCTGGTCTACAGAGTTCCAGGACAGCCAGGGCTACACAGAGAAACTTTGTCTCAAAGAAAAAAAGAAAGAAAGAATGAAAATATGGAAAACCCCAGTTCAAGTGATCATTAACTTCTCATATATATAAATTTATCATTTTAATCCATAACAATCAAAATTATACATCTCTAAATCATATTATCATTCTAATGTTATACAGAATTATTTTTAAAAGCCATACCAATAAAATAAAACATAAGAAACCCTAGAGGTTGGTTAGTTGGCTGGCTGACTGACTTTCGCAGTACAAAGGACTGGACTTATGAATGACAAGCAAACAGCCCCACTGACTTACATTTCCAGGCTTAGTTTTTTTCAAAGCCAACTGCTTATTCCCTAGTTTGATGTTGAAATTGCTATCATCGTGCCTCTATCTTCCAACCAGCTAGGATTATATGAATGCTAGGCATTCCTGGCTAAATCAAAATAGTAATATGTTTTCTCATGTATGGGGAGGAGGTGAGGAACAGTGTGAACAGTTGACTTAGTCAATCTCTCTCCATCTTATTTTTGAGAGTCTCTTACTCAACATAAAACACCCTAAGTCAGCTAGAATGGCTGGCCATCAAGCCTGGGGAACCCTCCTGTCCACCTCCCAGCACTGGGATTAGAGGTACACACTGACTGCCAGACTTGGCTCTTACATGGATGATATAGATCCAAACTTAGGCCCTAGACTCCCACAGCAAGTGCACAGCTCACTGAGCCATCTTTCTAGACCCACGGCCTTTAAATTACATTTTTATTTTATCAGCAATAGGATAGCTTTGGAAAGACGACGTGTATTGAGACATGAACTAACAGATTTCCTTCACTAGCTTTGAGAACCATAATACTTTTAAAGGATGGCTGCCCTTCCTGAAATATTACCCACCAGTCCCTCTGACAGCATTATGGAAATATCTTTCACAAAAACTAGTGATGCTCTTCATAAAATGAAGAATTTAATATTTTAATCTTGGATTTTCACTTGGTTAATCACACAACCTTTACCCGTTTTTCTTTTTCTGCTTTTCATTTGTGAGATGGTTCTCCCATAGCTCTGGCTAGTCTGAACTGACTCTGGCACACAGGCTGGCATCAAGCTCACAGTGGCCCTCCTGTTTCAACCCACTGAGAACTTTTAAAAACTGAAGTGGAAGCCAGGCAGTGGTGGCGCACACCTTTAATCCCAGCACTTGGGAGGCAGATGCAGGCAGATTTCTGAGTTCCAGGCCAGCCTGGTCTACAGAGTGAGTTCCAGGACAGCCAGGTCTACTGAGAGAAACCCTGTCTCGAAAAGCCAAAAAAGAAAAAAGAAAAGACAAAGAAAAACTGAAGTGGATTATAAAACTGGATTTTGCTAGCTATCAAGAAACATGTATCAGCAAAGAACAGATTCAACTGTAGTGTTAGTTTTAGAAGATCAGACGTAGAAGATGAACTGTCTCACGTTTTCATTTCTCTTGAGAAGGTCATCATCACTGTAAAGTGGCAAGCTTGTCACTGTCCACCCAGTACACAGCTTAATCACACCCATCAACTGTGGGCTTCCTGCGAACACAGCTGCAACTGGAGCTTGCCTCCTGTAAAGAACCAAAAGATCCTATGATAAACGAGCAATTAAACTATTAACATCATTGGTTTATATCAACTCTCAATACCAACAACCTCCAGTGTATAAGCACACTAAGATTTCAAAGTCAATGCAGTCCATTTAACTTAGGTATTCATTTAAAAGCATTCTACTATATGCCAGCAGCTCTTTTAAGCACTGAAGATACAGAAATTTTTTTAAACAAAGGGAGTGGAGGAAAGAAACAAGAATATGTCAGGTGGTGGTGGCATAGACCTTTAATCTCAAACACTTGGGAGACAGAGGCAGACAGATCTCAAAAAAAGAAAAAAAAAGAAAAAAGAAAGACAGAAAAAAGAAAAATGGAAAAGAAAAGGAAGAAAGAAAAAAAGAATATACTACATCAGATAGGGTGGTTCTCACACTCAGGCTCTGTAACACTAACATATAACTCAAATCCTTCCACATCCACTCACCCCACTGCTCCTCTGTCTCCGGATACCAGTGTGCACTACTCCACACTGAGTCCACTACAGACTCTCAGATGTCACTTACAGGGTAAGACACCAGCAAACAAGTTCCCCCTTTCCTCCTCCTATTTATTTTCAGTGCTAGGATGAAACTCAGAGACTGCATGCATAGTCTACAGACTGCAGAAAGGATTTAGCAGGAGGAGGTACTTGCTGCCAAACTTGATGGTGTGAATTTGATTCCTAGAACCCATACATTAAAAAGAACTTACACCTGTAAATTGTCCTCTAATGTTTACACACATGCCGTGGCATACACAGGCACACACACATTCTACCTCTGATCAAGCTTTATCTCCAGCCAAACCTAATTGATCTATTCACTCCCAGAATGCACTATTCAGTATCTGGCTACTACATACTGCACACAGAGATAAGCTCCAAAAGAAAAGGAACAGCACCTGGCTGGCCACTGTCCTAATGGAAGACTCAGGAGTAAGGAAAAAGACTTAGGACAAAATAATTATACTCAGATAAATATCTAATTACTCAATATCCAATTGTTCAGGCTTTTGCCATGTATTATTTTTTCTTTTTCTTTCCTTTTTTTTTTTTTGGGGGGGGGGGTGTTTCAAGATAGGGTTCTGTTGTGTAGTCCTGGCTGTCCTGGAACTTGCTCTGTAGACCAGGTTGGATTTGAACTAACAGAGATCCACTGCCTCTGCCTCCCGAGAACACCACCACCACCTAGCTTTGCTAAATCTCAAAGAGGATATAGTTCTTTGTTATTTGAGACAACACAATATCGTATTGTCATGCTCCCCACTGGTAACTACAACTCACATTAAATATTAGCATCAATGGTTAAGGTAACCTAAAAAAAAA